GAAGAGATAGGGACAGAGACAGAGAGAGAGAGAGGAAGAGAGAGAGAGGAAGAGATAGGGACAGAGACAGAGAGAGAGAGAGGAAGAGAGAGAGAGGAAGAGAGAGGGAGAGAGAGAGGAAGAGATAGGGACAGAGAGAGAGAGAGAGGAAGAGATAGGGACAGAGACAGAGAGAGAGAGAGGAAGAGATAGGGACAGAGACAGAGAGAGAGAGAGAGGAAGAGAGAGAGAGGAAGAGATAGGGACAGAGACAGAGAGAGAGAGGAAGAGAGAGAGAGGAAGAGATAGGGACAGAGAGAGAGAGAGAGGAAGAGATAGGGACAGAGACAGAGAGAGAGAGAGGAAGAGATAGGGACAGAGACAGAGAGAGAGAGGAAGAGATAGGGACAGAGACAGAGAGAGAGAGAGGAAGAGAGAGAGAGGAAGAGATAGGGAGAGAGAGAGGAAGAGATAGGGACAGAGACAGAGAGAGAGAGAGGAAGAGATAGGGACAGAGACAGAGAGAGAGAGAGGAAGAGAGAGAGAGGAAGAGATAGAGAGAGAGAGGAAGAGAGAGAGAGGAAGAGATAGGGAGAGAGAGAGGAAGAGATAGGGACAGAGAAAAAAGTCAAAGTTATGAGGTCAGAATTCTGACTTACCATGGGGATATTTGTATTATCACGGCTAAGTGTTCTTCTTATTCTTTATTTTTTGCTGCATATATATTATATATATTATCATATATTTGACAGCTGATCATCTGTCCAGTCTGGAGCAGAGGACTTGGAGATCTGCGGTTATCTGCACTCAGAGAGGCTTCCCTGTCTGCTGCGTGGCTTTTTGAGGATTGTTGGTGTGTAATATAACTAATAATGTAAATTCAATATACCACAAGGCACCTTCATACTGATGAGGATTTTCACAGAGTGGTGGAGCTGAACATCTACATTTTGTCCTGAGGGTGGCGCCAGAGGGAAAGCCATGGGGTCAGTACAACTTAAAATGCTTCATCCCTTTGGGAGCATGACAGAGCTCAGCAGTGTTCACAGTATTCATATTAAATTCTGAGATTCCTTGCGTGTAAAGTTGACATTTTGGCCTGAGGGTGGTACAAGAGGAACGTGTCCAAAATACAAAGGGTTAATTCTCTAGGGGGCTGGAAATCTGCTCTGTAGATTTCATTACAGTCGATCTGCCAATTGGAGTTTGATAGTTTTCTTGTGCACAACAAAGGGTGCAGTTAACATTTCAGCTTTGGGAGAGACATCGGAGAGAGCTGGTGCAGAGGATTACATTTGACAGTCTCCCCCCATGGGAGTCATGTGTTTTTAATGGGATATGCAGAAATAAATTGATTTAAACCTCTCTCCCCCGTGTCCTGTTCATCCTGTGTTCTCTGTTGTGTCCTCATTTCGGAATAAAAATATATATTTGTCGAAAAAACAACAACAACCATTTTCATTAAATTAAAAAGCAAAACATTAGATTCTGTTAAAACTAAAATCCTTTTTTCTGAAAACAGTGAACAATGTGACCCAAGTCTGACCAGCTTTAAGTATGTTACTTTATTGCCACATTTTGGTTGGTACCAAAAGGTTTTGAGGTTTGAAATTCAGTGCTATAATTCTTGGAATAGATTGTATTCCTACACAAAGAGAGCATCTTGTTGAGTGTCTCCACAACAGATTTGTGTGTAAATTCATATATTATTTGTATCTATTTAGACCTAATGACCCTTTGTAGAACCTATAATGGGAAAAAAAGGAGAAAGTTTGTCCTGATGATGGCACTAGCGGATCATCCACATTCATTTGTAATTAATTAAGTAATTTAAATATTTTACTGTGGTCCAAAGTTTCTGACAAACACACGGATGGATTATTGAACTGGAACCAGCCCAAGGGCCCGATGTGTCAGAGGCCCCCCTGGATTTCTCTTCGAAGAGACACGTACCAACAAGGAAGAGACTCAAAACGGCCACGAAAAAATTTAACGTTTACAAAGAGACCAAAACAGCTGCAAAGAGACCAAAACAGCTGCAAAGAGATGCAAAACAGCTGTAAAGGGACCAAAACAGCTGCAAAGAGACCAAAACAGCTGCAAAGAGACCAAAACAGCTGCAAAGAGATGCAAAAC